CGCTCGGACCCAACTACCTCGTCTGCCACTGGATAAGCTACCCCTGAGCCCTGAATGTCCATGCCCAGGCCCAGCCCTGGCCCAGGAGCAGCAGCTCAGCCGCTGCTGGGCTGCTTTGCCCCTGTCCTGCGGTGGCAGCCCCCAGTGCACCCCTGCAGCCACCCCAGCTGGTGGCAGACAGGGATGGGCTGTGCTGGAGGGGCTCATCCCGACCTCCTCGGGCCACCAAGGACACGCTCCAGGCCACCTCTGCCTTGTCTGCCCTCCTCAGCACGGGCTGCAGGGCCACCCTCGGGGCCTGGGCTGGTCCTGGGCTTCCACTTCTCCCTTTCCTGGGCCAGCTGGGCTCCTCCTGCTGACGTCCCCACTCCTGGTGCCATCCCAGCCTTTCACAACGCAGGCACGTCAGGCTGACATCAGCACCGTGCTGCTGGCAGCACGGGGCTCCTGCCCTGCCTGACCCCACACAGGACAGGCCAAGGGACTTTCCTGACCCTACAGAGACCCTGCAGCACCCAGCCCCTCTGGGAGAGCCCAGGGCAGGATATGGGATGCACCCACGAGCCCAGCATGAGGCAGGGCAGTCCTACCCACACTATGGTCTGTGTTCTGCCGCTGCTGGATACAGACATTATTTATTGCATTTGTAAATACAGAAAGGACGTGATGTTATTTATCTGGTCCATTTGTCTGTTCATCCTCTCTTAGGGCCAAGCTGAGCTTTCTGTTTCCAGATTTGGATGTTCCCCACCAGGAAGAGGCAATGTGCCTTTGCCTCGCGTGGGGAAGAGCATTTCCACACCTCAGCTGGGGAAAAGGAGAACCAAGGCAGCTCTCCAGGAGCTCCTCACGCACCCGAGCTCCTGGGGGGCTCTCCCTGAGGAGTTTGTGGGAGCAATCAGCAGAGGAGCAGCAGGGAAAAGGAGCTGGGCAGCTCACAGTGCTCCCACAGGGATGCACATCCCATGGGACATCACCCGGGAAGGGCAGGAGGAAAGGCAGTCAGGGCTCTGCTCAGCCAGGCTGGGCTCGATGATCTCAGAAGTATTTTCCAAACTAATTACTTCTGTGATGCTGTGAGCAAATGCCACCCAAATGGAAACAGGATGAGCCCCAGCAGCTCGCCCTGGGCCACCCTCCAGGTCGCAGGGAAGTTTTTCCAAACGTCACTCCACTTCCAGGAACCTTCACGGTGGGAAGTAAAACTGCTGGTGGAAATGCTCCTCGGGGAATGTGGCTTTCAGGTGAAGGGTTTTTGGTTTTATTTTCAGCTTTTCCAGCCCAGGCAGGAGGAGGGGGCTGACCCTTGCTGTGTTTCCTTCTCTTACATCTCACGTGGCGCTGCTCACACGTGAGATCCATCCCTGCATCCCACAGGGATGTGGAGGCACTGGGAGCCTCCTCCTGCCCCTCCACTGGCCCCATCTCTTCTGCCTCTGCATATTTTGGGGGTTAGAGCTTTTTTATTTTTCATTTTTTTCAACTTCCTCTGGAAAACAGAGTCATCAAAAGCACGGCTCTTCGTTGTTTTTCTTTTAAACGCCGCTGACGTCAGGCCCCATGGGTGGATCCTGCATCACGCAGGGCTCTGCTGGCTCCTGCTCACCACGGAGGGCTCCCAGCCCCCAGGAGCTGGCATTTCCCCTCTCCAGGAGCAGTCAGAGGTCTCCTTTCAGCCAGGAGAAAGCCACAGACCGCAGGGTTTAGCTTTGATGGCCGAGAGCACAGCTGGTCTGGAAATCCCACTCTGTCTTCACTGCTTTCCCTACCACGTGGCTCTCATGAGTTTTTCTTTGCTTTTCTTCTGAGAGAGACTTGCAGAGAAATGGTCCCAAGGCCCCCCGTGCCTCACCAGCCCCGCTGGCCAAGCAGAGCCCCTCTGTGGCCACAGAACCTCCCCACGGCTGTTCCTGTCCTCCAGGCACTCCCACAGCCACTTGTCCTGCTGAGACCAAAGGCAACTGGCACAAAAATCCAGGAATAACTTCCACAGGGGCTTTCTGAGGTGTTTCCTTGCACTGGGAGTGTGAAGAACCAACTTCCACTTCGGTGCAGGTATTGGATGGAGGAGGAGGAGGAGGACTGGGAGAGATTCCCCATTTCCTCACGGTGTTTCCTGCAGTGGCTCAAATCCAGTCGCTCAGTTCTGGGGCTCCTCCTCAGCTGGTTCCCTAAGGGGCAGCTCGGTGCCGGGTCTCTGGGGGTGCAGGAGGCTGGGAGGTCTCTGAGCCGTGGGGAATGGGGCTGATTTCTCCAGGATCAGTGCTGAGGAATCCTGGATGAGGCTGCATCCTCTCCCTCCATCCCCAACGAGGGGAAGGTGCAGCAGTGCCGGCCCAGGCACCTCCTGTGCCCCTGTGGCTGCACAGGGCCGGTGAGAGAACTGCAGAGGGAGGAGGTGCCCAGGGAATTGGTGGAGTTTCCCTCTCTGGAGACATTCCAAACCCACCTGGGTGCGTTCCTGTGTCACCTGCTCCAGGTGACCTTGGACCAGCTGGTCTCCAGAGGTCCCTTCCAGCCCCAAGATTCTGTGATTCTGGGAAGCTTTTTTAGCAACAGAAACTTCGCCGTTTCGGTTGAAATCCAACAAATTCAGGGGCTGTTTCTTACAGAAGTGAAAACAAAGGGATTCCCCCCGGGCAGTTTTGGTTGCTTTTTCTGTTGGTGCCAGGCTGTGAGTAAGAGGAAGTTCTGCAAGAGCACCCAGGCTCCAGCCCCATCCCTCTGTCCCTGGCCACACTTCCCCTCCCTGGGACAGCAGGAAGGAAACACAAACCAAAACCTGTGTGGGGAGAAACCAAAACCAGAGCTCGGGGAAAGCCTCTGAAGCCCCAGAGCCACAGGCAGGACTTCTGCTGGGAAAACCTTGGGACTGTCCTGAGGAAAGCTGTGATGCCCAGGGGCTACAAGGCAGTGGGGAGGCTTCAGGGCACAGCACTGGGGGGCAGGGGAGGACAAAGGGATGTCCTTCCTACCTGCTCAGCAGCCCAGCTGTCACCTCACAGCCCCTGGTTGTGGAAGGGCTCGTAGCCACTGCCCGAGGTGCCCAGCGAGCCACTGATGCTGAACGGTGGCACCAGCTGCAGTGCCACCGACCCCAGCCCGCTGCAGGGAAAGCAGAGAGGTCACCAAGCTGCCCGTCCTCCTCCAGCCCCCTGCCAACAGCAGAACTGGCTGAGCAGAGGGCTTGTGACACCTTGGCACTGCACAAAGGGAGCTGCCAGCCTGCCCCTGTCCCCCCGTGGCGTCACTCACCGCGAGTGGTAGAAGCTGAAGACAAAGTCAGGCCCTGGGGAGGCGGGAGGAAGAGGAGGGAGAGTGTCAGAGCCATGTGTTGCTTTGCCGTGAGTGGCAGGGTGGGGACAGGCAGGACAGGCACCAGGACATCGCTGTGCATCCCCCTCCTCAGCTCAGAGTGCCCCCAGCTTGGCCCTGAGCCCCCTGCACCAGCGGTTCCCCTGTCCCGTGGTCCCCACGGCCCAATCCCTGCAGTCCTGTGCTTTGAGCCCCCCTGCCCTGTCCCTCTGTCCCCTGCCCTGTCCCCCTGTCCCCTGCCCTGTCCCCTTGTCCCACTGTCCCCTGCCCTGTCCCTCTGTCCCCTGCCCTGTCCCCTTGTCCCGCTCTCCCCTGCCCTGTCCCTCTGTCCCCTGCCCTGTCCCCTTGTCCCGCTCTCCCCTGCCCTGTCCCTCTGTCCCCTGCCCTGTCTCCCTGTCCCCTGCCCTGTCCCCTTGTCCCTCTGTCCCCTGCCCTGTCCCTCTGTCCCCTGCCCTGTCCCCTTGTCCCGCTGTCCCCTGCCCTGTCCCGCTGTCCCCTGCCCTGTCCTCTTGTCCCGCTGTCCCCTGCCCTGTCCCCCTGTCCCCTGCCCTGTCCTCTTGTCCCGGTGTCCCCTGCCCTGTCCCCTGCCGTACTCACGGCGCTGGCAGCGGCCCCGCCGGTACCACCGGATGAAGGTGTAGCCAAAACTCGCCAGGACCAGCAGGGCCAGCCCGATGCCCAGGACAACCCCGATCACCTTGCTGGGCTCTTGTCCTGGGGAGCAGAGGGAGCGGGGCTCTGCAGACACACACGGGGAGGCTGGGGTCCCCGCTGTCCCCTGCGGGACACCCGGCAGCGGGGGTACAGCTCTCCACGTGTGCTGTCCCCACGGCAGGGAGGGTCTGCACCCGCCGGGGCTGCCAGGACCGTGACACGGAGTTCTGCTGTCCCCAAAGCCCCATGACGGACACCACGGCTGTCCCCAGGTGAGCTGGCAGGCGGGACGTGGCCACCCGGACCGCGCCGTGTCCCCACTGCCGGTCCCACTCGCGCCCTCGTGGGGTGATGCTCCTTTCCCGGCGGCGCTGGAGCCATTTCTGGGCTGGCAGTTCCCTCTAGAGGATGGTTTTTGTCAGGGCCAGCAGCCGCTGCCGCCAGCACCGGGCTGGCACAGGGCACGGACGGGGCTGTGCGGGCTCTGCACCGCCCCATGCCTGCCCTCCCCGGGCGGCGTCTGGCAAAACCCAGCCCCGACCAACGCTCCCGGAGCTGTCAGGACACCGAGGTGCCCGGCACAGCCGCCGAGCATCGATTCCCGTGCGGACAGCCCTGCTGGGGCCGTGCCG